GAGAGATTCCTTCTTGTTGACTGAGGATGCCAGTCTCCTCCTGGCTGACTTCAGATAAACATGTAGAACTCTCAGTTCCTTCAGCACCATGTCTGCTGGACAGTGTCATGCTTCTTATCATGTTGATAGTGGACCAAACCTGTGAAATATTAAGCCACCCCTAAATAATGCTGTCCTTTGTAAAAGTTGCCTTGGTCATTGTCTCTTTACAGATATGGAAACTCTACGTAAGAGACACACAAAAAAATATCTAATGTGAACTTAATGAATTGCTTCAAAATATGTCAGTTGGAATGATATACAAATGTTGAATAGTACTTTAAAAATATTCATTCATTATCCTGTAACCTTTAAGCCTAAAGATAAAAATAATATGGGAAAATATCAGAATCATTTTTACTAAAATGGTTTGTGATTCTCAGAAATATAACTGTATAGTATCAGAAACAAATTAGGATGGACTTCATCTTCATGACCTGAAACCATTTATTATCACTTATCTTGAAATGTCCCTGTACTTATATGATTTCTTATAATTAAAATAAATCCACTCAGTTTATATTATTTGCTTTACAAACGTTGACATTTTAATTTTTTTGTATTTTATTTTTAAACATTTGTGTGTCAAGAATAATATACACTATACATAATATTTAAGTTAAAATAATTATGTTTGCATAATTTTTGGTTCATATTATCAAATATACCATTGATGTAATATATTTTGGGAAAATTGTTTCAAAGTTATACATCCAAATTTACTAAAACTTATGATTGCTTTGTGGAATGATTGATTGATCTGATCATTGGAGATAGATTCTAACCCTGTAACCAGTTTGGCTCTGTATTCTCACAAGAATTTATCTGCTGAACTCATAGGCAATTTTCACTTCAGCCTTACAAGGTTGTGATTGAAGGAATGAAACTCTATATTTTATGGACTTTAGTCTTTACTTTTTCCTTCAATTCCTTTATCATAATTAAACTGTCTTCAAGACCTATATTTTCAATTTTATGTTTCTTTTTCTCTTTACTTGTGATATAACTATTTGAAAACATTTTTAAGATGAAATTTTGCCACAGCTATGTTCTTTGAAAACTAATTGATATAATCATCTCTTGACATAACAGTATATCAATATAATTTCTCTAATCCTCACATTTTCAATGACATATGAATTAGGAATTTAAGACAGCTTCAGAGTGATGAGGAATAAAACTTATATGCTTATAAATTATTTCTTCATTCTAAAAAAAAGCTATGCAACAAGAACAACCTACATGCTATATTTGGCCTATCCACTGAAATGACTTAGCACTTAAATTTTAAGCATAGAAAAGTAAATTTATAAAATCTTGATTAAGTCTATAGCTCATACAACTAATTTAATTAAAAATATTAGATTAAAATAAATTTTCATATTTTTTGTTAATAAAGCCCTTGTTAATGAAGTGGAATTAAGACAATATGGTTTGAGACTGGGATTGGATATAATTGTGATTCCCCCTTCTCTTGTCATTTAAAGAATGTCGCATAGATTTAAGAGGCTACAAGTTTAACTTCTGTAACGTAATATAGATTTAACAACATTTATGTCAAACAGTTTTAACTATTATTGAGAGCTGTCTATCTCTATGTAAGAATCCAGTTTAAAACATCAGAAACCTAATGAAACATGATACTTTAAGCCTCACTAACACTAATAGACACCTTGGAAGGAGGTCAAAGAAATTTATGAAAAGTATAATTGAGTTATAGCAAGGGTATGACTTTATCTTATTTTATTTTTATGTATGTATTTTGCCTTCATGTAAGTTTGTATACTATTTTTATGCCTGGTTTACACAGGTCAAAAAATGGCATAAAATCCCTTGGATCAAGATTTATAGAGGGTAGTAAGCTGCTATGTGGTTGCTGGGATTTCAACCATGATCTCTTGGAAAACCAGGCAGTGGTCACAACTGCTAAATCTTCTCTCTATCCCCATGGATAAAGTATTTTTTCTTAAGAACTTGAAATAATTCCCATATTTATTTGTCATCATCTAGTTATGCTTCCACAACATATACATCAATGTTTATATCTTCTCGCATATGTTTATGAAATAATATTAAAAGCAGTGATTGATTCAGTACTATTGACTGAATAGTGTATCTGTGTGTATAAAGACATGAGAACACATGCATGTAAATTGTGTAGAGTTCATAAAGTTGTTTTTTTCAAGTATCCTGAAGTTGTTGTTCAGTAGGATAGTGTTGGTAATTGTTAGGAAATGAAGGCTTGCCAGATTGCTCATGCTGTGCAATAAAGAATTATTATGCTATCACCTATGATAAGAATATATAATAGGGGAATTTAATGGTGGGGAGGCAGAATTAGGTGGGGGAACACCCTCAGAGAAGCAGGGAAGGGGGGATGGAATAGAGTGTTTCAAGGAGGGGGAACTGGGAAAGGGAATAACATTTGAAATGTAAATAAAAAAATATCCAATAAAACAGAAATACTATTGTATATGGAAAGAATGAATATCATCATAAGATGACAAAGTATAATGTTATTCTTTCTAACAAAGCTACATAACAAAGGAAATAGTGAAGATAATCATTTGCGTAGGTGCTGGCTTTCTTACAAATTAAAGATGTGTGTTAATGTTTGGATTCTAGTTTATAATGCTAAAATTTACTTTTGCCTTCCTCAAGCCCTAAAATTAAAAAAAGAAAAGAAAGGAAAAGGAGAATTTTCTCTGACTGTCAATATTCCTTAGATTAGCAGCATTATCTAATTAAATTATCTAGCATTCTGTTTTAACCAAACATGCTTTCATTAGTCTTATAATTTTTAAAATTTATCACAATTAGAGCATTTTGAGTCTACAATTGAAGACAGTAAGTCCACTGACATTGCTCAGAAGTCAAAGAGTCCTGTCACTAAGACTGACAGCCTGAATTCTATCCTTGAAACCCAAATAATAGAGAGAAACAATTCTTCCAAAACACCCATTGACTTCAAATAATATACCAATGTATACATGTGTATGCACACACATGTACATATATACACATGGCAAGTAAACAAATACAAAATAAACTATCCTGTTTATAGATTGTAAAGATTGTCCCTAATCATTTATTTTGTAATATGCCTAGTGTAAAAGGTAAATGATTTATTTTATTCTCCTCAGATATGACAAAAATTTTCAAGTGACTTATTACTATAGCATTGACATATTAGTACCTGAAAGTTATTCCACAGAAAATCCTTTTATTTTTAATTTCAATTTCTCTCTTGAACTGACCTGATTGATTTTTACAATAGCTTTACAGAATGACATAATAATTCAGTCTCAGACACCCAGAATAGATAAAAGTTGTAGGGCCAGGTAGAAGCATCATCATGCTTCTCACATGGAACACCTTGGCATTTCTGTCTGCCATAAACAGTCACAATTGTTCTTTTGCTCTGCTTTACCATTTAAATAAACAGAAAATTAGAAATCTAGAACCAAGTTCACCTGTTTTGTTTCACTATATAATTCAATATCTGTTTTAAATAAATGAACAAAGAGGCTAAATACAATCCTTCATTCTAAATGTTATATAGTAACTATAAGCAGCGCGTTAAAAGACAAGCATATGCTTCGTCTTATCTAATGCCAATACACTCATTCACTATAAAACCAATTACAAGGAATATAGTATATTTCCTATATAAATTTTAATCTCTTGCTGTGCTAGCTTACGTTCAATAACTTAAATAACAAGAATTATTTATAGATTTTCATACATCCATCACTTTTAGCTTTAATTAATATATATGATCAAATAAGTGATTAATTCAAAATTTAAAGGACAATAACTAAGCAACAAACTGGTATAAGTGAATCTATTTTCACAATCAGAAAGATATTATAAGCCTAGATCTGAAGAAAGGAATAACAAGAAAACAAAGAGCTGGTATCTGCAGGTTGTTAAAGTTGTACTGTCAGAAAGCAGAAGCTATGAGCAGAAGTTCAAAATGATTTATTGTTTCTGTTGTCTACAACAAATGAAAGATAACCAATTAATGATTTTGCACTCCTTCATACATATTCCAACTCATAATCAGAATAAAATATGATTCATGTTAAATATGCTTTAGTACTAATTTACAAAAGTAGTTCTAATATTTTATCCTAAAAAGAGTAAAAGGTAAAGACATTCATGTTAAGCTTCAAAATATTACCTACAAACACTATAACCTGTTACAGTTAAAAAGAAATAACCTCTGGGTGATGGTGGCACATGCTTTTAATACCAGGACTCAGTAAACAGATGGAGGCAGGCAGATTGCTATGATCAAAGCCAGTCTTATCTGCAAAGCAAGTACAGGACAGCCAAGGATACACAGAGAAAATGTGTCTGGAAAAAAAAAAAACAAGGCAAAACAAAACAAAATAACACAACAAAATAAAACAAAAGAAAAAACTCAACAACAAAAAACAACAGCAAAAGAAAAATAGTTAAAACAACATTCTTTAAATGGGAAATTTAGCTAGTGGTACCTAGTCAGTAGCATTATAATTGTATTTTCATAAGTATATGGTTTTTAAATGTACATAATTTTTATTATACATGCTATATAAGAATAAATATGGAAATTATATGCTAAAATTTATAAAACATCCATGAAGAAAGCATAATGACACATTGCTCTATAATAAACATATTTTATATTTAAAGATCATCATTTTCACTTTTCTGTGTGTTTTATTCAACCTTTATTTTTATTAAGCTAATATCATTAAGTGAAACTCAAACATTAACAGTAAATATATAACAAGCTTTAAATACAATGAGCAGATAGTAGCTTATAATAAGACAACCCACATACAAGTAGTTACATATAAATTTTTAATTTTATTTCTACAGTACATAAATACATTTCAATCTCTAATTTCAAAATTATTTAATTATTTACTAATTACAGTTATTGACTCTGCAACTTGTTAATGAGAACTTACACGTTTCAGTAGCTGTGACACTCAAGTTGTACCAAGCACTGACCTCTCTGTCAAGCAGGTTAGTGGTAATTATTGTTCCATTGTCATTGATATCAAACAGGTTGCTTCCAGTGAGAGAATATCTGCACCAAAAGGAAGAGAAATTATAACCAAATTGTAATATTTTATAGCAATGCTATAGGGCATACCCACATTCAAAGCTGAAAGAAAAAAATTAACTACATTCTTTACATAGAGAAGGTGATGCTGAATAATTCAAATAAACTACACTTACATATTTAAGATTATGCTCAGAATAAATGTTTAAAAACAGCATAAATTTCAAGTCATGAAAAAAGAGACTCTGAATTTAAAGAGAGCAGAAAGGCTAACTGGGAGGAGGACTTGGAGGATGGAAGGGAAGGGACAAATGTTGTAGTTATATTATAATCTGTAAAATTAATATAGTTTTTGAAAACAAAACTAATAAGATTTTGAAGAGAGGTATTATAAATACAAATAGATGGCTCTCCTACCTATATCATGACTTGGTCATGGTGAATGACTTGGTCAAAAGAATTGCAAGAGGCATGTTTCATATAAACCAAAGTCCAACTAGGTGAGGAATGAAATATGTTACTGTCAACCTGTTACCCTTTCTGTTTTAAATGTAAGCCCTTTTCTCAGTCATCTTCTCCTATTAGTCTCTATTCTATACATTGGGCATTATTTCGAATAAGTTCTATCTATCACATATAAAAATATACTTACCTACAGATGTTGAAATCAAATAGGTTTATGATATTTGTAAAAAATAAATTTCATTACATTACATACTGTTGTAACATAATCAAAACACAACAAGGCATGGTAAACACTACCTTGGGGACCTGGAGAGAGACTCTAGGAAAATGGTTGAAGGCCTTTTACCTCAGATGCATTTTGTTCCCTGGATTATTCTTGAAAATAATTCTGTGCCTTCAATGTCAAACATTTAAATTTAATTTATAAGACATATTTACTCTTGTTGGATGTCAAATAATAGCTATAATGTACCATGAATCTGGATATGGCCTCCAGCCTTGCTTTTGTGATTTCCCTGATATAATCTACAGTGTGTGTCAGACAGTTGTATTAAATTGGTCTGTCGTGAGAGCATTCTGGGAAATGGATGCTCTGTTACTATTTAGTATATGTGCTTATTGACTTTCATCTACATGTTTTCTTGGTTTTGTTGTGTCCTGTCTTATATTTGTGTATAAAAGTACAGTGAAACTGAGGTAAGGTTGGATTCCATTGGATGGAATCTGCCCTATTCTTGCTATTCCTTGGATCCCCGGTCTTGCAGATACAGGTCTGCCTAGGTCAACAAATATTAACATATACGAACACTTAATTCTTTCGGGAGATAAACCTCAAATATTAGAAACCATTTAGATCATTTGGGTTAAACACAATGCTGATGAATTTCATTTAGTTTTCTTGTAAAGTAGCTGGGTTACAGGTTCTTTCATAAAATAGTCTTAAATAATGGTCTCAAATTTACAACAAAATAATCCTTTGAAGCACCCAGCATGTTTGATCTGCTTGAGAGTGATTAATAATAACATAGAGGCATAATACCTGGGGTTTAGTTGGTTTCTTCGTAAGAACACATTCTTGAGGACTCTCTACAAATGTATTCTAGATTTACTATAACTATGTGGCAGGGATGAGAGTATTTTATACTTGAGATGACAACTTTCTAAAAATGTTATCCTAAATTGAGGTTTGATGTTCAAAAGAAATTTAAAATATGAATTAGAATGGATGATACTTTAGACTAGAGTTCAATTTACATTCATTCAATGCTAAGCATTTTCAGTCATCTTACTTAAATATCTACAAATGAGTACATTTTTGATTAAACAGATTTGCTATGGAATTAAATGGTTGCTATTTTGTATTTCACATCTAATCCTGTTCCTGTAAAACACCACTCCAAATAAATTCCATTAGGATTTTGAAGGAAATGCTTTTTTTTTTTTTCAT